GTTGGCTCGCTTACCAGCTGCGTCAGGAAGTTATCTATCTTCCACACACTCCAGGAACCTCCTAGACTGCTTCCTCTCTGCTGTGTTGTATTTCCAGCAGATATCTGCTAAGTTGAAGTCTCTCACGAGAACAAGGGCTAGCGATTGTGAGACTTCAGCCAACCGCTTGTAGAATACTTCATCTGTTTCCTCGTCCTGGTTGGGTGGTCTATAACAGACTCCCACCAGGATATCTGCCTTATTAGCCTTCCCCCTGATCTTTACCCATAAGCACTCGACCTCATCATTACCGTTGTTGAGTTCTAGACAGTCAAAACACTCTCTAACGTATAGAGCTACCCCACCACCTCTCCTTCCTTGCCTATCCCTTCTAAAGAGCTTGTAGCCATCCATTGCAGCACTCCAGTTGTGTGAGTCATCCCACCATGTTTCCGTGATGGCGACCAAATCATAGTTTTCCTGCCGCGCAATGGCTTCCAGCTCCTCCTGTTTATTGCCCATGCTGCATGCATTGGTGTAAATGCACTTCAGTTGGCCTATTGATCTCGTCTCCAACACAGGCATGCCACCCCTAGGCTCATCCCTAGCAAGCCTGGTTTTATCCCCTTCCCCCTTCGCATCTAGTTTAAAGCTCTCTTAATGAGGCCTGCTAGCTCCTGAGCCAGAATCCTTTTCCCCTTCTGTGACAGGTGAACCCCATCTGTCTCCAGCAGGCCTGGTGCCATGTAAACTGCTCCATGATCAAAAAAACCAAAATTCCACCACTGGCACCAGCCTCTGAGCCACGTGTTAATGAGATGGGTCTTCCTATTCCTTTCCATATGCCTCCTGGCTATGGACGGGATGGAGGAAAATGCTCCTGATCCTTCAAGTAATCACCCCAGTTCTCTAAAGTCCCTTTTGATCGTCTTTTTGTACTTCTCTCGGCTACCTCATCACTGCCTACCTGAACAACCACTAGTGGATAATAATCGGACGCTTTTACCAGCCTAGGGAGCTTCCTGGTAATGTCTTTTATCCTTGCCCCAGGGAGGCAACAGATTTCCCTATGGGATGGGTCTGGTCAAAAAATTCTAATTTTTTCTGACAAAAAATCCAAACTTTAATCCAGTCATACTCCTGTTTATTAAGTCAAGTAAAAATGTTTCTTTCTATCCTATCCTTTCTGTCACAAGCTTTGTTTGATTTACATTAGATTCATTTAACTGACAGGTATCTAAATTTCTCTTTTTAAAGACTACTGTACATTTCTAATGCTTTATTCATATCCAATCGTGAAACCAAAGTTTGTCAGCCACAAACTTTCTCATTCAAGTCAGACAAGAAATGGCTTTTTTTCAGAAAGCTATAAGGAACAGTAGATTTTTCTCCTTTCCATTGAAATAGTCGCAGAAGTATGTAATGCAGAAACCTACTGTTAATAACATCCAATCCTTAACAGTAAGTATATGAGCCCATAAATAAAATAACATGGATTAAATGCTTTTTTTTAATCTAATACTTTTGAATCATATAACTCCTATTTTAAAAGTCTAACAAATATATTTCATACTTTTAATGTACCTGCCATCCATTGCTAAATTAAGCAATTTTCAAAATATTAAACAATCTGAAAGCTATCAAGACAATATTTAACACCAAATTTCCAACACAATATTTACCAGATTAGGCCTTGATCCTGCAAAGATGTACATGTTTTAGCTAATTTAAATCCAGGTATAAATCTTTATGGAATCAGAAATCCCAAGTCCTTCTGTAAAAAAAAAAAAGCATAAAGAACCTTTAACTTGCACAAACTGAATAACAGACTAACAGCTGAAAACAGCTTAGACTGGAAAGACATCAACAAAAATGCAAGTCATAGGGTGAAAATCAAATGGAGAACAAAAGAAACAAAATATTCTCTGCAATAAGAAAAAAGAACTGAGCTGAATGAAAGAAGGCAGTAGGCTAGGCCTCTCTTGTCTAGCCACATATATATAAGTAGTTGTTTGAAAAAAGAGAGGAGACTTGATAGAAGTGTACTGCTCAGCATGCCTGAGACAGCAGCCTGAGGCTGACTTAGAGGTTTCCTTGGGATCTGTGATAACTGAGAAGAAATTTCAGACATAACTTTTTCATTCATGTCATAACTTTTATTGGGAGTCTTGCAGAAGACATGTCCTGGCTTGAGGATGTAAGAACGCTTACAATTCATGAGACAGACTATAAATAAACTTTCAAAATTCACTAGCAGTTAAATAATCTCAGCTTTGGTACAGAAAGATGAAATGGTTTGGGTAATTTAGAAAAACCGATGTATTTTCAAAATACGTAATCCTCATAAATTGAGAAAGGAGAAAGACTAAAAATGGTTTCCCAGCAGACAGCTGCATGTGTGAAATGAATGGAACCAAAAAATGAACCTGAAACTTTATATTTATGAAATGGACTCCACTTCAAAAGGGATTCTATATCTACTGTGAGGTACTTCACATTTCCCTCACAATTATCGTACAACCAACTATTCAGTCAGACCCACAGCACTGCAAAGTCTCCAATGTCAGACCAAACACTGCTTGACAATTACAGACCTGAATTACTACACATGCAATCCAAGAACCTAAGGTATTAGCAGTACACACTGACAAGCTGCTATATAATTTTTTGAAATTATTTGAGGAAGAAAAGAGAAGTGCATAAAGTCATTAGTCTACATATTAAATTTCACTTAAAAATTAACAAATGCAACAAATATGCGCACACATAGATATTCATTAAGGCCACATGCCTTCCTATTATGCTGAATGGGAAATTGTTCCTATTGTCCTTTAGGAACGCAGAGAAATCAAACTTAAATGAAATTCCAAAGTATATATACATTGAAACATAACTCACCTTGTTCCAAATAGAAATTAATGGCCCAAGAGAAGGTATTTTCTAGTTTCAAAATTATACCTACACATTTATGAAGCCATTACTCAACTGTAACTCAGCTGTAGGAACTCTAGACCAATGCTGCTGTGTATGATCATATGGACTTTATAAGTGATATTAGGCAAAAGCTTATTTTTAACTTGTATTTGAAAAAAATAATTGTATAGTCTGTGTTCTTACGATTTTGGATTGATTAGGGCAGCTACAAATTGATTCGTATGAAAATCGGGACAAAAAGCAGAGATAAGAGAAACTGTCATAATTATTTTAGGTCAAGTGAAATACAGAAAAATGGATTACCATGGCAGGGTGGTTGTTTTGTTTTGTTTTTTTTTAACATTTAGGATGAGATCAGAGCCTCAAATTAGGACAATTACTTACTTTTTGTTTTTACTGGCCACAAGTGAAAACAAAACACAAGCAAAGACTAGACTATTAAATCTGAAGTCTTCAGAGTTTATGGACAAGTAATTTGAATGTTTTTCTCACTTCCAATGCTCTCTATATAGAAATCTACCATTTTATCCTTCCACACATCATGTTGCTAACCCCCTAACCAAAAAAAGAAAAGATTATTCCTTCTGTCAAATTCATGTGTCCTTGACACACTAAGAAATCTATTTGCTCTCAACTGTCCCAAAGTAATGTTTTTTTAAGAATTCACCCCCAAAATTATTAATCCATGAAATTCTCTGACTTGAGCAGCACTAAATAAAGAAGAATCAGTGGTTAACTTTGAATGGAGGACCAGGGAAAATGACAACAGCAACTAGACTGTAGTAGGACATAGAATCACCAGGTTCAGCTGTCAAATCCAAAGAAGGTAGCTTTCAGATAAATATATAGGAAAAAAAACTTGAATATATAAAGTGTATTTTTCATTGAGTAGGATGCCTTCCCAGATGAAATAGCCATACTGCTACAGCTACACTGCATCTAAGGCCTAGGCTACCCTATTAAAAGGAGCTTGCATATGACCTTTTACAATGCTTTGAAAACATTGTCTCAATCAAAAAATGGCCAAATCCTTCAAAGCTGGCATGCATTATTCTAATGATTTTTGATCCAAAAAGCAAAATTAAATTTCTGATTTAGTTTACAGTTTGAGATACCAAGTCTAATACTCAGAAATGCTCCTAACTTTTTTTGCTTGGTCTGTTTAATTTTGTTGCACTATCTAGGAGTGCCAGAATTGCTTTCTGTTCTTTTTATTCCCCAGAGTGATCCTTCTACTTTTTATTTTACAATAATAGTTGATACCTTAAGAAAGAACAGCTGATACCACTGCTGTTATTAAAAACTCTTTGTCACATGAATAATTGAAACATTATTTTTATTTGTGCATGATAAGCTGTATTCTGAATGTTACATTATTTGCTATTCCTTGTAAGTATGTCTATCTGCAAGTATAATTCCAACTTATATTGAAATTACCAATTAAAATGTCCATCATAAATGTAAAAAAAATATAAATATACATTCAGTATATGTTATAGCATATTTTATACATGCAAATTTTGAGCACTTGGATATTTGTATACCTAGCTGGAGATGGAGTAGTTTTTTCAGAGGAATCAAGCATCTACAGCCTTAGTCATTTCAGCTTTTCATGCTCAATACCTCTAAAATATTAAGATTTGTCTCAAACTGGCTATCAAAATGTTAAAAACAGTGAACTGACACCTGAAAAATTGCAGTTTAACCAATCTAGACATACCAGCTTAGAAGTCTATGACACAAGCTGGGACTGAAGCTACTTTTACGAAGTCAGGATCATCCTTTAGAGACTCTATAGAAAACACCTTCATTCACTATACAAATATGATTCAGTCACTACTCAATTGTACTGAGAGAAGCAGAAATCCTCTAGACTACACACAAGATTATGTACTCAAAGACTGAAAGGTTAAAAATACAAAATAAACAAAAGCAGTTGGAAGAAGATCCAAATTGCTTATTTGTTTATGTCTGTATCAGAGACATATGCCTCATTACTATCTTGGACTAACACTTGGTCCCATATATTGCTTTCAGCATCAACTAGGTAGGAGGTAGGTAGGACTAGCACATTGTTTTGAGGTATAATATTGTTAAAAGGTCAGACAACAGATGGTACATATAAAACTGTCTCTTCTTCCCTGAATCCTTACTGATATTATTTAATTCACATTGCTAACATTTTAAGAATCAGAGATTAGAAAAACATGTAACAGTCCAAAATCATTATAAAATTTCACTTTAATTTGCATATAATTGTGTATAAAGATATAAAACATCTTTGAATGTACATGGATAGATTTTCTGCTAGGACAGTTCCTGTGCAACAGGAACTACACTTAACCCTTATTGTTCTTGCAAGTGGACCATTGAAACAGAAACATTGAAACTGCAACCCTTTATCACTCTTTCATTGCTAAACCTCTCCAAGCAGGGTGACATCGTACCATGCACATATACTGTAAGTCTACACTGCAAACCATAGGTGTTCTGTGGTGATATCCAATGGAATACCAAAAGCAGGATAAGCTTGCAATGTGTGAGCATGGCCCTGTACTGGTTTTGGCTGGGATAGAGTTAATTTTCTTCATAGTAGCTTGTATGGGGCTATGTTTTGTATTTGTGCTGGAAACAGTGTTGATAATACAGGGATGTTTTAGTTAATAGTTTAATATGGGGAAAAAAAAAAAAAGTGATGCAAAGGCAACCACTCACCACCTCTCCAAAGCAGACTGATGCCCAGCCAGTCTTAAGGCTACCTTCCCCGAACCCCCATCCCCTCAGTTTCTTTGCTAAGCATAACATTATATGGCATGGAATATCTCTCTCAATCTGGCTCAGCTGTCCAGGTTGCATCCCCTCCCAGCTTCTTGCCATCCCTGACCTACCACTCATTGGGTGCAACAGAGTGGGGGAAAAAAGGCAGACTAGATACTATGCAAGTACTGCTCAGCAACAGTCAGAACACTGGTGTGTTATCAACACTGTTTTAATCACAGACTGAAAACACAGCACCATATAGGCTGCTATGAAGAAAATGAACTCCATCTCAGCCAGACCCAGTACAGCAATGTACAGTCCAAGTCAAATTTAAATGCCTAGATGCCAAGCTTTATCTTCACTAGGAAGTGTTATTCACATGCTTACTTCAGATCTAAATTAATGTTTAAATTTGGGGGTGAGGCTCCAAAGGCAGTTTATATCGATCCAAATCTCACCTCTCACAGCCCTGTCCCCTTCTGCACTAGTGGTATTAATGCTGGTGCAGACACAAAATGGAGCAGTTCAGGAGTTGATACACTTAAAAAGCTGTTATTTAAGGGATGAAGCAGCTAACCATCTGATCACAGGAACATTAGACCAGGAAGGAATAAAGAAACACTAATACACATCTAGATTGGCTTAAACTAAAGGGCAACACTTACTTCGCTTGTAAACAAGTAAATTAAGACATGTTTGCATTTAGAATGATTTCCCATACAACTCCCTTAACTTATGCAAGTCTTCACATACCATCAATGCTACGGAAGTCCAGTAAGTATGTCCTGCTGTCCACCTGATACAGCTGTAGACTCATTTTGGAATATGCACTTGTTACCGGATTCTTCCTTCGAACACGTAAATAGTACGGATTTACAACCTAGTACAAAAGAGACTGGAGTTAAGTTACCAGAACTGCTTGAAAAGCGCCGCATATTGTTTTTGTCATTTCAACTCACTGGTATTATCAAGTGATTTCAGGATTACCTGTTGAAGTTGTGGGGTTTTTTTAGCCAACAGAAAAAACATTCCTACAGCCCCAATACAAAAGTCAGACATGTCAGCAAGACTTTTTTTTCCTGTCAGCATGAATAGCCTCCCCCAAAACCCTTCCTGCACAGCAAGCATAAGCAGTCAGCACAGGCACATAAGATTATTTTCCAGCACAGGAGAACATAGTTTCAGACTTCTAGGCTATGTAACCACACAGCTCAAACAAAAGTTTACTGTTGTCTGCTGTAAAGGTCCTTTATTCTTTTACCTTCCATTCATAATCTAGTTGTTTAATTGCACGACAAACTTCAGCCATGATATCATTTGGTCGACTCTGACTCCGTATTCCCAAGTGCCACTTAGCTCTTCTTACACCTTGGTGTTTTGACTTCTGTGGATTCAGCTCATCAAGAGTATGGCGAGGACGTGGTGCTTCAGCTACTAAGAATGGCACTCTTTCAGGATGAGGGCGAGACAGATGGTGATCATCAAGAAAAGAATCCGGTGGGCTTGTAGCCAAGTAGAAGTCTTTGGCCTCATTCATTATTCTTCTATTATCTATAATGAGGTGATAAGCAACCGCTAAAGGGTCCTGATGATTTCGGCTGTATAGACAACTTAGCACTTCCTCTTCAGTGCATTCAAACTTCTCACACACTTCTTTTAAGGCTTCATCATCAATCATGGTAGAGCTATATGATGGGTCTTCAGGAAACAAGTATTTCGGAAGGTCCTGCTTAAACCATTCATGTTCCCTAGATTTAAAAATAAAACAAGTCTGAGTATATGTATATAAAGCAAACCTTTTTAATATTAAATTCTTTAAAAAATCAAATTCTTTTTACTCTGTACAAAAAGAATCAGTTGTTAGTCCAAGTCCCCTTCTGTGTAGCACAGACAATAAAACTATACATAAAGGAAAGTAATCACCTTCACAAGATTTTGCTAGACATTTTGCAGGAGACTGAAAAAAAAAAATCTTTCCTGTAAGTTTTTCAACTACCTGAGCTCCAAAAATATCTTTGTATAACTCATCAACCAGCTTTTCATATAAATGGCATATTTTTTACTGCCACTGTTAGTTTTGAGATATTTTCAACTGAAATTCTTACACTACCCATTTAAGTTGTCCCTTTCTAAGTACACATGTAACAATACATAACAAAATTAAGAAATGTTGATGGTTAGTATTTTTTTGGTAGATGTTTGGACATGGACTTTTGAACATTGAAGTCACATGCTCCCCACCCCAAAAAAGCTGCCTATCATTTTTTCATTCAGAACACCCCTACCTGTCTCTTCAAGACTTAAAAGGGTTGAGGGAAGCTATGGAAGCATCAATCTGTACCTCTTTACTACTGTACCCATGGGCTGGTATTCGTAAGAGGGAAAAGGAAAGATACAGAAGGAACCAAATACCTACACTGCCCAATCATACAGAAAAAATAAGATGGTTTTGCGTGCCTAGAGTAAGCTGCTTAACTAGCCAAAGGGTATGGCATGACACTAATTTTGGAAGTATTCTAACATAAACACTTGCTACAGATTTAAGAGCAGTTATATGGATGTCATGGTTTAACCCTAGACAGCAACTAAGTACAGGCACTGGCTTACTCCCCGCTGGTGGGATAGGGGAGATAATCGTAAGGGTAAAAGTGAGAAAGAAACTTATGGGTTTCTCCACAGCTGAGACACAGGCCTGTATGGAGGAAGCAAGATTCTCTGAATTCTCAGAGGTAGCTGGCCAATCCATCCACAGTTGGTGCCTCTGTGTCTGTCTAGCTCATTACCACCAGGGTGTTGGCATTTGACATCAGTGCATGGCATACGAACTTTTGCCACATGGACCACACGCACCAGATTTCATCCAGGTCTTTGGTTGCTATAGATCACCTCCACCACAGCTAATTCCCTCAGATACTGGATACCTCCCTCAATGTTGGTCCATTTGGTTAGGGAATTTGCAGGATGTTCCTTGAATACTCAACAGGAGTTGCCTCCAAAGACTGAGGACTCCTGTCACTTTTACACTCCCTTTGTCAGTAGCCTTATCCCTAGCAAGGGATCCCAGCTGCCAGTCTTCCTTACCTTCTAATTCCTGACTATTGGCCCCAATATCCCAGCATCAGAGTATCCAGCTGAGAATCTGCTCACCTGGTTGACAGCTGAAGTCTTTTCACATATCTCACAGCTCACTTAGGGATAGGGATCAGGTGGTTTCTGTCTCATTTCAGTCCCTTCCTCCTCCTGTTCTTGTGACTGCTCTGCTGCAGAACAGGCTGCTGCTTCTGATTCTATCTCCTGCTCCCTCTTAGGAGATGCTTCTTCATCCCTTAACTAAACAAGTCAATTTCTGCTTCAATTGTTTCTTTTTAATTATAGGAGCAACTGATACAGTTGAAGGCTGGGTCTCTGGCTTAGCCACAGTGTCTGTTGGTATGTTTTCAGATCCAGAGACCCTCTCTTCTCCTTAAGGCTGCTGCATAGTATTGAGCAGTGTTCAGTAGGTGCAGGCCAGGCCCTAGCACAGTGCGATAAATTGTGCCTCTTTGGAATAGCCACAGCATCGTTTTTTTTTTTTTTTCCAAACACTATCAATTCATCAGGATCCTGCACTTGTTCAGGAGTGAAGTCCCAGCCCATCAGAGGTGACAAGCTTTCTAGATGCCTGCCCATATGCTCCCACATGCCTTGCCACTCATAACCACACTGCCATGGGGCCTGGGTGATATTCCTAAATAGCTTGTTAACCTTAGAAAAAGTTGAAACAATGCTCCTAAGCAATACCAGTAGAAGAATTTTGACTACCCAAGGATGTTCAAGACATTGAAGAGTTATTATAACGAGAGAGAAAACATCACAGAAGGTGGTGAAGGTGCCATTTTTATTTCCTCCACAAAAAACCTCTCAGCCAAAGAAGTGTAATTGTTAATTGTCTCCATGAGATGGTACCTGAAGTTCAGTAAAGGCTTCAGTACAGAGCCCAAATACCAGATTAAGCTCAAGGCCAGTGCATTAATAATAAAACTCCCAGGCAAAACACCACTAATCGCTACAGAGCACAGCAAACTGCAAAAGCCAAAACCAGTCTTTAACATGTACAGCAAAAAAGGGATCACGGCACAGATCAGATAAATCAATGTCGAGAACAGATAAGTCAATATCGTGACCAGCACATGTAAAACAGATATAATAATTATAAATGCCTTTTAATACACTCTGGTTAAATCTGTTGTTATCTCAAACCCTTCGAGCCCCATGTTGGGTGTCAAAAAGGACTGTCATGGTTTAACCCTGGCCAGCAACTAAGCATCACACAGCCGCTTGCTCACTCCCCACAGTGGGATAGGGAGAGAATCAGAAGGGTAAAAGTGAGAAAACTCATGGGTTGAGATAAAGACAGTTTAATAGGTAAAGCAAAAGCTGCATGTGCAAGCAAAGCAAAATAAGGAATTCATTCACTACTTCCCATCGGCATGCAGATGTTCAGCCATCTCCAGGAAAGCAGGGCTCCATCACACCTAATGGTTACTTGGGAAGAACAAACACCATAACTCCAAATGTCCCCCCCTTCCTTCTTCTTCCCCCAGCTTTATATGCTGAGCACAACATCATATGGTATGGAATATCCCTTTGGTCAGTTGGGGTCAGCTGTCCCAGCTGTGTCCCCTCCCAACTTCTTGTGCATCCCCAGCCTGCTCACTGGTGGGGTGGTGTGAGGAGCAGAAAAGGCCTTGGTGCTCTGCAAGCTCTACCTAAAACATCCCTGTATTATCAACACTGCTTTCAGCATAAATCTAAAACATAGCCCCATACAAGCTTCTATGAAGAAAATTAACTCTATCCCAGCCAAAACCAATACAGGTTAGTAGTGTTTACTGAGAAAGCCATCAGCACTCTGTAGTAGAATGATGACAACCTTACAGTATATTTAAGATATTAAATTTTGTCTTCATTATTTACAGTATAAATGATCCATGACTATATTTTACATAAGTATCCTAAATTTAGTTACTGAACCTCTGGAAGAATTCACTTTGATTATCATTATGGCATAATAACTTGATTTTATTTATTTATTAAATGTTCATCTGGTATTTTATCCCTGTAAGATCAAGACTGGTCTCATTCCACCTCTTATCATGCCACTTCATATAGGTGCAGCATGAACTTTTATCACAGCGGAATATTAAAGCAGTTGTATTAAATGTGTCTTCCTTGATTAACACTGCTTGGTATTCCAATTTGTTATATAATTTTTAGTTTACCATAGAATGATTTTCCATAAGAGGGTTACTTAATTATAGGCTTTTGGAGTTCAGTTTTGGATCCATACTATTAAGAATTAAATACCAGTTTGTGATGTCTTAATATTTGAGAGACTATCACTTCAGTTTTTTCTGGTTCCCAAATGCTACTTACAACTTCCTAATTTTTTTGTTGCCTGGTTTCAGCATGAGTTCTGGAAGCCCGAAAAGTAGAGTGGTCTAAAGCCAGAGGGATAAAACTGGATTTCTATCTAGCTAAGTAGAACTCTCTATTACCTGATACAATTCCTCTCTTCCTTTAGGACTCCAAGAGATCCATGCCATCAATTAACTATATATCAGCAAAAGAACATCTATGACTTGAATGCAGTTCTTTAATTTCACCTGAGCAGTAAAAACTATGAACAAGAAAGTATCTGACCTTCTGTCAGTCTGTAATCTTTGGCCAGATAGATAGAATTGAAACAATCTTCATTTTGTGGCTTTCAAAAGTTCACCTACACAGAGGGGACCGTTTATTTGGAATCAAGTAAGCATTTTCTTTTTTCACTTTGCAAATTAGCACAACTTTGACTACCTGCTTTAATAACGCATCAGCTGCTTCTGTTGTCATCATTACTTTCTGCTTTACAATTGTGGGTATCACAGATTTAAAGAATAACATCCATAAAACTCAATTTGGTAACTAATATTTATAACTCATTTCTGGACCAAGCTTGCTTTGATGGTAATCAGACTTTCCTCTTATCAAAATCACCAAAGGTTTGCAGAAGTAATGGATTTATCTCTAGGCTTCTGTTCTTTCCCATTTCTATATTGCTTGATTGTTAACCATTTGATTTAATGATGTCCAATGCTCATGCTAGCTTTTACAGTACAGATTTGATTGTCATAAATAGTGGTCTTCCTATTGTTAAGTTCAACCTCCAGCTTTCATTAAGCCACTCCAGACAGTCAAGAATACACTGTAAATATTTCACTAGGTTCAAGATGAAGAATACTTATTTTCTGAAATTGCTCTACACATTTGCATGTCAACATATACTTTGCCCATGACAGTAATTGGGAAGTGAACTCCCTGTCTTTATCTCAACCCACAAGCTTTTTCATGCTATTTTCCTCCCCTGTCCTGTTGAGTAGGGGGAGTGAGCAGCTGAGTGGGCATCTGGCTGCTGGCCAAGGTTAACCCACCACACCTCTATAAAAAAATATCAGGGAAAAATAAATAATGTCCCCAGAACAAGGTTTGAATAATGTACAGGCAATAGGGTGTGAGGTTCATTTTACACAATGGGAAAATAAAATATTGAATAACAGCTTATTAAAGAAGAACCACCTACCCTATGAAGCTGGATATCCATGAAAAAATGTGATGATGTAATTTAGCATGTTTCATAATGCATACATACACAAGAGACAATTTTAATCATCGGGCATTACAGTGACAGTCAAGCTGGTTACAATTTTTCTAATATCCACTGGAAAAT